AGCCTGGGAGCAGCTGGCACAGCCACGGGTGTCTCAGCCCTCGTGACCCAACAACAAGGACTCTCTCAGCTGCAAATGACCGTCGATGAGGACTTGCAGAGGATCGAGAAATCCATCTCCTTTATAGAGAAGTCAGTCTCCTCACTCTTGGAAGTGGTCTTGCAGAATAGGCAAGGACTGGACCTCTTGTTCATGCAACAAGGAGGACTGTGTGCTGCCTTGAAAGAGGAATGCTGCTTTTATGCAGACCACACGGTAGTTGTTAAAGACTCCATGGCAGAACTCCAAGATAGACTGGCTCAGAGAAAGAAAGACAGGGAAACTCAACAGAGCTGGTTCGAATCCTGGTTCAATCAATTGCCATGGCTTGCCACCTTAATTTCCACCCTCATAGGTCCACTAGCAATACTGCTTTTAGCTGTTACCATAGGACCATGCCTGCTGAACAAGCTGGTCTCATTTGTTCAGGCCTGTCTGGAACGGGCGAACATTCTGTGTATAGGCCAGCAACAAATGCTGTAACCCAAAAACTGCGAACACTGCCAGTTGCAGAAACTTTCTAAACTCACCTTGCAAGAGTTACTCAGGTTTACCAAGCCCCCTTTTCCCTTTATCAAGTTTGTACCTCACTTCAGTGCCTATATCTACGACTACCTCATTTATTTGTGAAAAGCGGGGGGAGAAGTAGTAGATAGGGACAGGTGAATGGAAGATTTTGGGATGTGACAGAAAGCAAGACCCTTCCCCCTCATCCTGTAATATGTGATCTATTACCCCTGAGACATGTAACCCCACCCAACCCAGTAGTTTTCCACTCCTTACTAATCCTAGAGACCCTACCTCCTTCCTTTGACGTAGCAAAGTCCCCCTTGACTATTTAGCCTCACAAGATAAGATAATAAACGCCATTTGACCATCCACCATGTTGGTGTCTGTGTATGTCTGTGGCCCGAATGGCCTGGGCGAGGCCAGGCTGCCGGGCTATCCCTCGAAACCAGGTCGCCTTACCTTCACCTGAAGGCAACATGGTGGGGGATGCTGTTGGGGAGCATGGGAGATTTGCAGAACCATAGATGGATGTCCAGGAGAATGGGGGTCCAGGGGAATTGGTGTCCCATGCCTGGGGGGATTCAGGGATGGGGGTGCTTTGGGAACATGGTCCCCAGGGATTTGGACTCATGGCATGTGGGTGCCAGATTTGGGGTTGCAGGGGGGAAAAAGGGACACCTTGGGAATAGGGGTTCTGGGGGTAGAAGCAGCCCATGGGATGGGATCAAGGCAAGGCGGGTCCTGGCTAATGGCAGTCCTGGGATGGGGGTCCTCGGGAAAGAGAGACCAAAGGAATGTGGGTCCCATGATTGGGCTCCCAGGCAAATGGGTGTGCCAGGGATGGGCAGTGGCTGGGTGGGCATGGGGGTCACAGCTCCTTCTCTGGGTGCCTCAGAATTTGGGGTGACCCAGGGCCCAGCACAGCCCCCAGTCTGGGGTGCTCGTTTCCTGGGCAGGCATCACATGGGTGTCCTGGGTAGCTCTGCCCCTGTGCCTGCCCCTGTCCTTGACTTTTTCCTCTCCTTCTATTTTTCCCTTATTTTCCTCAATTTTTTGCCATTTCCCCTCACTCCCGGTTCCTGGCTCAGTAATCCAGCGGAGCACCTGAGCAGGGAAGGTGTTGGGGGGACCCAGGGGAGGGGAAAAATGGGATGTGGGGAGTGCAGGGAAGGGTGGAGACTCTGTGGGGGATGGAGGTGTTGGGTTGTGCCTCTCCACACTTTCACTTTCTTTTTCCTGAACTAGAAGGAAGAGGCTGTTCGTGCTGAGAGTCCGATGGGAAAGGGGAGGGGAGTTATGTCCTGTGGGAAAACCAGTGGGATCCTGTTCTGGGAGGTCCTTGTTTTGGGGAAATCCAGTCCAGGGGTGACACATCCTGGCATGGGGGGTCCTGTCCAGTGCGTGGCACTTCCAGAAATGTCCCTGCACATTCCTGTCCGGCTACCTGTCCCAGGGGTGGCACATTCTGGGCATCCCTGTCCGTCCAAGGCTGGAGCCCAGCCATGGCCCAGCCCCGGCCCAGCCCCACTGCACAGGGGTGGCCACTGGCCAGCCCTGCTCTGGCCAGCCCCAGGTGGCAGCCAGGACCTGAGGGTCCCCCCAGCCCCCTTGGCTTTGATTCTGGCAGCTTTAGAGCTGCTGCAGAGGTGAGAATCCTGTGGGGGAAGTGGCCTGCCTGTGGTTTGCTCAGCCCTGCAAGAAGCACAAAACCCAAAGGGAGCCCAAGCAGTGGCTCTGTGAGGGCCTTGGATGGTTTTCAGAGCAGGGCTGCTGGAATCCCCCTCTGCAGGGGCAGCTGTGGGGGAAACCAGTCCAGAAATGCAGCAATTGATCATTTTGTCTCTCGCAGCAAGGGTCTGAGATAGCTCCAAAAGCCCTGCAAAGACAATAACTATTTGTCCAACAACCTGACCAGGTCCCTCCTCCTTCCTGTCACAAACATGCAGCCCCATGGAACACCCTGGAAAGAATATCTGGGGTTCTGGCTTGCCTGCCCTACAAGAGGGAATTGTGTGGAAATATTGAGCAGTGACTCTGTCCCATGGCTGTGGTGGGGCTGTGGGGAGTGACCCCGTCTGGATTCCAGGTGTCCCCAGAGCTGCTCCATCCCTGCCCTCCTCACTCACACCGGGCATGGGGAATAGACAGGGCTCTTCCCCACTGCTGTCCCACCCCTTCCAGGGTACCCCTCTTCTTCCCAGAGCTGTGGGGGCGTTACCCTGGCAGCGCCCAGTCCTGACACATCATGACAGTGCCTTTGGACACGCTGCCACAGTCAGTCTGGACAGCCCGTGACTGTCCCGGCACTCACAGTGCGATGGCAGCCGGGCTCCTTGCCAGGGCTCCAGGACCACCATTGCGGTTCCTCCTTTCCACAGAACCCACCGCAGCCTCTCTGCTCCCCTGCCATCCTGGGCTCTCCCCTCCACCATTTCGCTCCCTCTGCACTCAGGGCTCCCCAGTGGGGTCCCGGTCCCTTCATCCCAGCCCCTCCCATCCGCTTAAGTCATGAGGGGTTTGGGAGCCCTATGGGTGTCACTGCTCTGGTCCAGAATCTGGGGGGAGCAGGAATGGCAAGCAGTGCCCTACCATGGCCCGGCCCTATCGGCCTCACCTGAGCACCCTGCAGAATTCCCGGTGCTCCTGCTCCACCTGCGTGACCAGGTGCTGTTCCCATGGGCCACCCACTCCAGCTGCTCCTGCATCAGCCACAGGATCCCAAAATCCCCGGGAGAGGCAGTTGAGCCATGTGTTGGTGCACAGGGATGCTTTCGGAGCACAGCTGAACTCTAGGAACCCCGGCCCTAATTCCAATACATCCTTAAGGGTTTGCAGCTCCAAGAGCGAACAGAGGCATTGGCCCAGCCTGCTCCAGTTTCGCCCCATTTTTCCCTCCCAAGGTGCTGCTGCTGGTCCAGGCTGTCCCTGTGCTCCAGCTGCAGCTGCAGAGCCCTTGGGGCTGTGGCTCTGCTCTCTTCCTCTTCCTCCTCCTCCTGCCTCTGTGGCTGCTGTGTCAGGACCAGCAGTGGCCGAGGAAGAGCAGGAACTCCCTGAGGAGCCCTGGCAGAGTCAGCACCGGGCACCAGCTTTCCTCAACATCCCGGGGCAATTCAACATTCCCAGAACTGCTGTGCCAGGGCTGAAGGAGGAAAAGGCTGAGGCTTTGCAGGAATTGTGGTGTAAAGGCACCAGAGGGGCTGTTGTGGCCCCAACACCTGCCTGGGGTCAGGTGCTGCCTTCCTTCCATCCGGGATCCTGGAGAGCGGTTGCGGGAATTGCCCAGGGCGTGTACCAGGTCCCGGGACACTGCTACGCTGCCACTGGGCACTCGGATCCAACCTGCTGCCGCTGTGGCTTCTGCCCGCTGCCGGTGGTGGTGCCGGGACCGATTGGTGCTGGTAAGTTTGCAAAAGGAGCGATTTCCCCTCCTCCCTCCCGTCCGAGGCCGCCATCGGCCCTGAGGGGACCGAGCTCGAGCGGGGCGCCCCCTGCTGGCCGGGAGCGCTCCCTGCAGCGCCCCCTGCTGGCCGTGGCCATAACTGCACCAAAGACGAACTGAGCCCTGAGTGGGAGGGAAAGTTCTGGGTTTGTGTTGTTTGTACTGTTCTGCTTGATAAACTTTCCTTGGCAGACATATCTCTTGCAAACCCAGAGGCATGATTACTCCTAGATTTCAATGTGGATGGGACAGACTATCCAAGAGGAGACAGAGTAAAGGTCTTGGCCACGTCATGCTCTGCCTCTTAAGCCATTTGGGCCACCAAGGGCCCTCTCCCCAGCTGGCACTTCTGGTCACCTGGCCACTCAGGACCAGAGTTTGGTAGAGTGTCACACTGTCCCCAGTGTGCCATGGCTGACAGACCGATTGACAAACAGGGCCCTGTCTCCCCAAAGCAAGGCCTGACCCATCCCTGACACACACAGGTGTTCCAAAATGTCTCAAGACATCAAACTTTTTCTGTCTTTCACACCCTGCCCTGTGTCATGGCCTGATCCTGACTGCCCTAGGAAAGGGGGAGGCTGCAAGACCCCCACAGGGCCTTTGTGGCATCCTTGGGTGGGAACCTGGCAGAGGAGGGCACTGGGAACAGAGGACAAGAGAGTCCAGAGCCTCCTGAAGGCTGCTTTGGCCATCAGAGCAAGGAAGGTTCAGGGCCCTGCCAGGTTTCTCTGGTGGAAGAAACATGCTGGGGAAAATGTCTGGGGTTCGTTCCTTGTCAGGGCTTTCCCTGGAAATTATTCCTTTTGTGACCCTTTGGATTCTGAACCTCGTTGCTGTTGCTGTTGGTTTTATTCTCTCTTGTTGCTGTTTCAGGAAATTGTTCTTCTCTCTGCCCTTTGGGATCTTTGTGCTTCCACGGGGAGGAAGAGGGGCAGTTTTTAGTGGCAGCACACCCACATGTGGGTGCCCATGGGTGGGACCCCCAGTGCCCCCCAGTTCCCCACCGGTGTCACAGCACATTCCCGTAGATGTCAATGGGTTCCTGAGGTCGCCTCTGGGGTCCCTGCAGCTCTGCATAGGTCACCTGGGGATCCTGGAGTGTGGTGGCACAGGGGGACGCTGCAAGAGACACGGGCTGTGGCATCTGGGTGGGGTGACACTCATAGGTGACGTCTCCCTGTGTGTGTGTGTCCCCCCTGTACTCACCCCCTGCACTCTTGGTGATCACAATTTGGGTGTACAGCACCTCCCCCTCCTCTGGGGGGGCCAGGGGATCTGGGGGAGACCTGAGGGAATTAAGGGGATGTGTGGGAAGGGATGGAGAGATGTGGGGTTGGGGTAAAAGGGGATTCATGGTTGGAGACCCCCACTCACCTTTCCTGGTGCTTCCTGGTGGCTGTAAAGGAAAGAGGAGAGGGTGACTGTGGGGTCCCTGAGCCCTGACCCCTTTCAGGATTCCTGAACCCCCATGGGACCTTCAATTCCCCTCAGGACCCCCAAACATCCATGTAGCCCCCCAAAATTCATGAACATCCCCAGTGCCCCCAGATAACTCAGCCTCAACCGTGTTTTGGGTTCTGAGCCTCAGCCTCAGAATCCAAAACATGGCAGCCACAGAGATCCCCCAAATACCTGAAGGGCCCCCAAAGAACCCCCAATATCCCTGCAGAACCATCCAGCACCTCCCCAAACCCTACAGGACCCCCAGTCAATGTCACGTTTATGGGGCTGTAAGTGATGCCCAATTGCTCCCCAACTCTGGGGACCTCTTCAGCTCCCTGGGACCCCCGTCCCCCCATTGTCACCCACCCACTCGGTGCCACCGGTGCCAGGCCACAATGACACCTGTGAGCAGGACCAGGAACAAAAGGGCACCACCGACCCCTGCAGCCACTGCAAGAAACAGAGGGGGACAGATCAGGATCACCCATCACCCCAGGGGTGCTGCACTCCCTGGTGACCCTGTATGACCCCACCTGTGTTCCTGTGTCCCCGTGGTGTCACTTCCAGGGCCAGCTCGGGGCTGAGTGCTCGGAACACACGATGCCCGTCCTGTCCCAGCTGGTTGGTGGCCACGCACTGGTAGGTGCCCGAATGTCCCACATCGACGTCCCTGAGCTCCAGGAGGGGACCCTGGGCCACCTCCTGCCCATTGTGCAGCCAGGTGAAGGTGACAGGGACTGAGCCCACCTGCACCGAGCAGCGCAGGGTCACGGGGTCACCTGCATGTACCTGGTGTGCCAGGGGACTGAGGCTGATAGTGGCATTGGCCACAGGCACTGTGGGGACACAGACAGGGCTGGCACCAGGTGAAATGGGATGGGGGTGCTGTGGGTGAGGTCACCTCCAGCCCCATGGTTCTGCTCACCCACGACGGTGACATTCAGGGGGTCACTCTCGGCCACGCTGTCCCCGTTGCTGACCCGGCACCAGTACTGGCCACTGTCATTGTCCCCAACGTGCCACAGCTCCAGGCGGGGCCCGATGCCCAGCAGTGCCCCTGAGCCCTCCCGGTGCCAGGAGAAGGACAGGGGACCTGTCCCTGAGGCCACCGCACAGCTCAGTACCAGGCTGTCCCCAAGTGCGACCTGTCCCCCGGGGGGCTGCACCAAAAGGGACATCCCCGAGGGTGGGACACCTGGAGATGGGGGAGACACCAGGGGACAGTGAGGGACCCATGAGGGAGAGGGAGGAGCAGTGAGACCCCATTGAGTGAGTGAGAGGGGGAACAATGAGGAGGGGGCTTGGAAAGAAAGCTCGAGGAAGGATGGAGGGTCCAAGGTGGAGACAGTGGGAGAGGGAGGTGGGTGACACCAGGAAGGGTTGAGGGCACCCAGGAAGGGGATGGTAGGACCTGGGGACCATCCGTGGACCTCGGGGAGGGGTGGGGGGACCATTGGAGGGGTGATGAGACCTTGTGCAGGATGGGGATATACAAGCCAGGAATGGGGAAATGTGGGGAGGGACGGTGAGACAGAGAAAAGGTGATGGGGAAGGATGGGGGTACCCATGTAGAGCTGGGGGAGCTGGGGAGGGACCCGTTAATGGAGCGGGGGAGACAGGGAGGGATCTGAAAAAGGCTGAGGGCCCCAGGGGAGGTATAGGAGGACCCAGACAGTGATGGGGGACCCAGGGAGGCTGTGGGGGCTCCCAGTGCACATCCCTGCACTCACTGTGCACCGAGATGTGGAGCCGGGCGCTGCTCTTCCTCACAGTCCCGCCCTTGGAGCGCACCTCGCAGCTGTAATTCCCTGAGTGGGAGACCCCCACAGCGGGCAGCAGCAGCTGCGGGGACCCCTGCGGGCCCCCCACCACCTGCCCGTCCCGGTAGAACACATGCAGGAGGGGGACTCGGGGCCGCAGGGGGCTGGGGGTACTGAGGCAGCTGAGAGCCAGGGGTGAACCCTCGGTGGGCTCGGGGGGACCCTCCAGCACCGGCACAGAGAAGAGCTCTGGGAAGGAGATGGGGAGGTGAGGACTGTGACCCTGAGTCCACTGGGAAGTGACTTTGGGGGTGTCGGGATTTTGGAATTCCAGTCATGGGGTGCTCACCGTGCACTCTCACTGTCACTGCTGCTGACTGTGACCCATGTGTGCTCATCCAGCCCTTGCAGCGGTAGTGACCACTGTGGTGCAGCTTCAGAAGGGACAGGGACAGCTCAGTTCCCCTGAGGAACCACCTCAGATCCTTCTCATCCCAGAAAAATTGCACCCTGGTGACTGGGTTGTCCTGACGGCCCCGGCAGCGCAGTGTCAGTGTGTCCCCCTCCAGCAGTGCCTGTGCTGGCACCTGCAGCACCAGCAAGTCTGTGTAACAGGAGGGTCCCATCTCACTGAGGGGCTCCACACAGGTCCGAGGTGCACTGGGTGGACACCTGGACATCTGAGTGCACTGGGGTGCACTGGGATGCTCCTGTGTGCAGGGCACAGGCTCTTGCCACACGAGAGGTGTGAGGTCACCCATGGAATGGAGCCCACCCAGACCTATCAGGGACCACCCTGATCATTTAGGATCCCCTCCTCACCATCTAAGACTCTCATGGGGGGGCTGAGTCCAGTGCCGGGTCTGTAACATGTGTAGGTGCCACTCTTGGTAACAGTGATTCGGTCTCGTCCCTGCTGTCCCCAGTGCTGCCCATCCTTGTACCAGGTGGTGGCACTGGCGGTCCCCGAGCCCTGGCAGGTCAGTGTCACCTGGTCCCACAGCACTGCCGGCCTCCAGGGGGGATCCACGAGGAGCTGGGTGGTCTGGGCACCTGTGGGTGACAGGGGACACCAGCCTGCCAGGGCCAACAAAGGGCTGGGGACAGTGGGGTGGGGACATGGCATCCCCCGAGGACTCACCAACGAGGCCAAGGGTCTGGGCTGGAAGAGAGAAGGGAAAAGGCTGGGTTGGGGTGGCACCATAGGGACTGTCCTCGTGGGAGAACTTTCAGTTCTTGTGAGAAAGTGTTTGAGGATTGTCCCCAAAATATTTGGCGAGGCAGGGGGACATGTCTGTGTCACAGCCACCCCTGCACCACATCCGTGTGGCACGGACGCCTTGGGAACAGGGACACTGAAGCCACCCTGGCCTGAGGCAGAACATGGGGACACTGTGGACACCCCGGGCACAGGGACACCATGGACACACCCCTTGCTGGCCCAGGTCAGCCCCCACCAGCTCCTGATCCCATCCCCATGATCCAATCCCCACATGCACATCCTCAGCCTTCTTGTCCCCTTCTGTCCCTGCATCCCACTTCCCTTGTCCCTGTGCCCAGAGCTCCTTGAGCCCAAAGGTGCCAGTCCCCACATTCCTGTCCCCACATCCCCATCCCCAAATTCCTGCCCCCTCTTCCTGTCCCCAAAGCCACCCAAGATCCCCAGTGACACCAAGCTGCACTGTGGGAAACACAGACTGGCACTGCTGGCCTTGGGGACCTCAGGGGTCCCCGCAGCCCCCCTGTGCCCCCTCCCCACCGGTCTCTGCCTCACCAGGTCCCATCCCCAGGCTGTCAGGCCCATGCCTGGGGCACTCACCCCACAGGAGCAGTGCCACCTTCCCGGCCATCCCGGTGTCCCCAGCCATGTGGACTGGCTGTCCCTGGCTGCTGTGGCCACCGCTCCCCTGGCTGGCGGCTCTTCGGACGAAGGGGAAGGAAGCGAGGTCACGTCATTTTTCCACGTGTAGGTGGCTTTTGGTGGAGGCAGGGTCGGACAGGATGGGGGCAGGGTGGGGACCTGGTGGGACATGGGGTGATGGTGGGACATGGTGGGGATGTGATGTTGGCAGAATTTGGAGACTGAGGTGGAATGGGGTTCCCAGGGATGGAGTCTCAGGGGAATGGGGGTCCCAAGGGTTGGGTAGACTCAGACTCAGGACTGGGGGTCCAAGAACAATGTGGCATCCAAGGATTTGTGATCATTTGATGGGGGCCAAGGAATGGAGGTGCCAGGGGACAGGAATTTCTGGGGGAATCAAGGTTCCCAAGGGAATGGGGTGTCAGAGGGACTGGAATTTCTGAGATGGGGTTCCTTGGGAATGAAGATCCAGGGGAATTGCAATCTAGGGATGGGGGCCCCAATGAAGTGGAAACAGAAGTAATGGGATGAATGGGAATCCCATGATTGGGGTCCCAGGAGAATGGGGGTGCCATGGATGGGCATTGGCTGGGTGGGCATGGAGATCACAGCTCCTTCTCTGGGTGCCTCAGAATTTGGGGTGACTCAGGGCCACACACAGTGCCACTGGGGTGCTTGTTTCCTGGGCAGGCATTACATGGGGGTCCTGGGTTGCTCTGCATCTGTGCCCTCCCCTGCCCTTGACTTTTCCCTGTCTTTCTCTTTTTTCGTTATTTTTCTCTCTTTTGTGCCATGTCCCCTCACTCCCGCTTCCTGGCTCAGCAATCCAAGGGAGCACCTGAGCAGGGAATGGGTTGGGGTGACCCCGGGGATGAGGAAAAATGGGATGTGGGGCTGCAGGGAAGAGTAGGGAGGCTGTGGGGTATGGAGGTGTTGGGCTGTGCCCCTAAACATTTTCACTGTCTTTTTCCTGGACAAGAGGCAAGAGGCTGTTTGTGCTGAGAGTCTGATGAGAAAGGGAAAACCAGGGGAGTCCTGTCCTGGGAGGTCCTTGTTTTGGGGAAATCCAGTCCAGGGGTGACACATCCTGGCATGGGGGTCCTGTCTTGGGGGGTGGCACTTCCAGAAATGTCCCTGCACATTCCTGGATGGCTGCCTGTCCCAGGGCTGGCACATTCTGGGCATCCCTGTCCGTCCAAGGCTGGAGCCCAGCCATGGCCCAGCCCCGGCCCAGCCCCACTGCACAGGGGTGGCCACTGGCCAGCCCTGCTCTGGCCAGCCCCAGGTGGCAGCCAGGACCTGAGGGTCCCCCCAGCCCCCCTGGCTTTGATTCTGGCAGCTTTAGAGCTGCTGCAGAGGTGAGAATCCTGTGGGGGAAGTGGCCTGGCTGTGGTTTGCTCAGCCCTGCAAGAAGCACAAAACCCAAAGAGAGCCCAAGCTCTGCGAGGGCCTTTGATGGTTTTCAGGGCAGGGCTGTTTGGAAACCTCCCTGCAGGAGCAGCTGTGAGGGAACCAGTCCAGAAATACAGAAATTGGTCATTTTTTCCCTTGCAGCAAGGTGCTGAGAGAGCCCCAGAACTGCTGTAAATCCCACCCCAATGTGCTCAACAGCCTGACCTGGACCCTCCCTCTCCTTCCTGCCTTGCCCTGGGTGGGCAATGCCTGCATGCCCTGCACCCACCACAGCCACTGTCTTGCTGCCCTCCATACCTGGATGGGGAGAGAAATTTCAACAAATGCTTCCTGTGCTGAGACAAGGACCAGCAGAGATCACTCATCAAATCCTGTCACAGGCAAAACAGCCTTGGAATTAGAGATATGAATAGAATTTATTGCTGACAAAATCAGAGCCAGAGAAGGGGAAGTCTAAGCAACCCTTCCATACACCTTATCCCTGTTGTGAATGAATAACTATGGAGTCATTGGCTTTCACTATTATATTGGCTTTTCCAAATTATTTTGATATAACACAGTTTGTAATCACTTTTTAATTGCTTTTGATACACTACAGTTTGTCAGGCTTTTTACCCCAATCCCTGCGTAGAATTTATATTTTAGTGTGCTAAATAGATTATAGTTGAGGTTCTCCCAAACTGTCAAGATAGAGACTATGTGCTGTGTACTATAACAATAACTATTGCAGAAGTAGCTAATGCCTTTATTTGTGTAAATGACAATTGTCAGAATAATTTTGTGAAATAGCTAATGTTGATTTCATGTACTGGTGGATTATCTTACCTGTTTGATAACACTGAAAAGAAGCAACTAAATAAACATCAAAAAGACAAATGGAAAGAGGAATTTACCACTGACCCTTCAGTTTTCAGGAACTGTCAATCCACAGAACAGGGGAGCCTTGTGAGGACATAAAATATATAAATTTAATCTGCAGTATGGCATGTACTTTATGAAAATAGATCAAGGGTGAAACCAAGCAAATGAAATTCAGAAATATGTAAAAAAAGAAAGTTGAATATGTGTAACCCTCATGAATATATATTTAACCAATACAATGAACAGGTCCATAAGAAGAATTGCTGCAGTTAACCCTGTGCCTCTGGCAGTTGCCAAGCACCCAGCCCACTGTTTACTGCACCTTTTATCCCTGATTAAACATTGACACATTTTAAAGAGTGAGACTTGTTTCTGCCACAGTTTAATCAAAAAGCTGCATTTTGGGTACAGTGAGAGTGAAAAGGGTTGTGTGCCAGCCCCAGCGCTGGGAGTGGGAAGAAGGAGCCCCGAGGGTGCTGTGAAGAGGAAGAAGACACCCCTGAGGGGAATCGATGTCCCCCAGTGCCCCCAGTGTCACAGCATGTTCTCGTAGTCACGGGGGTCCCGCTGTCCCTCGTAGGGTCCCAGCAGCTCCACGTTGGTCACTTGTGGATCACGAGGTGGGGCAGGGCCAAGGGACACCCATGGGTGACAGATCCCTGTGTCCCCCTCCCTGCCAACTCAGTGCCCCTGACATGGGGGTCCAGCACCCCCACTCCACAGGGGAGTCTGTGGGGATAAGCGGGGGGAGGTCTGGGCGGTGTCTGGGGAGGGGGAAAGGGGAGTCCCAGCCCGAGCCCCCCACTCACCTGTCCTGGAGCTTCCTGGCAGCTGCAAGGGAAAGCAGAGGGGGTGACCATGTGGACCCCGGGACCCCTGAACCTTCCTGTCACCCAGGCAGATCCAACCACCCACAGGACCCCCAAATCCCCACTGCAGCCCCAATTCCCACAGGACCCTTGATTCCCCCTGGACTCTCCCAGTACCCCTGAACCCCCCAGAACTTCTGCACCACCACAGTGCTCCCAACCCACCCAGTATCCCTGACTATTTGAGCCCCAGAACCCAAAGCCTGGCAGGGAGGGGCACCTCCACACTTCCCCACCAACCCAAAAATTCCCCCAACATCCCTGCACGGACCACCAAGAGCACCCCAGTCCCTCCAGGAGCTCCTGGTGCCACCCCAATGTTCTCCAAAGCCCACTCAGGGATGGATCTGGAGCCCAACCAAGACCCTCCAAATTCCCCCCAGATGCCCCAGGACCCCCAGCCGAGGTCACTGCGGGGAGTTCCCCCAGCTGAGGGGCCCTGGGTGCTGCCGATCTCTGCCCCCACTCTGGGGGCTTCCCCTCACTACAGGACCTCCATCCCCCCCCATTGTCACCCACCCCAGCGGTGCCACCAGAGACAGCCCCCGATGACAGCCAGGAGCAGGAGCAGGAACAGGAGGGTCCTGCCGACATTCAGAGACACTGCTGGGGACAGAGGGGGACACACCGGGGTCAACCTGAACTTCGGGGGTCCTGAACAGCCTGGTGATGCTGTGGGACCCCACCTGTGAGCCAGGGAGAGTGAGGTGTCACCTCCAGGACCAGCTTGGGGCTGAGAGCCCGGTGCCCATCCTGTCCCAGCTGGTTGGTGGCCACACACTGGTAGGTGCCTGAATGTCCCACATCGACATCCCCAAGCTCCAGGAGGGGACCCCAGGCAACCTCCTGCCCCTTGTGCATCCAGGTGAAGGTGACAGGGGCTGAGCCCACCTGCACCGAGCAGCGCAGGGTCACGGGGTCACCTGCGCGCACCTGGTGTGCCAGGGAACTGAGGGCGATGGTGGCATTGGCCACGGGCACTGCGGGGACACAGACAGGGCTGAGGTCACAGGGAGGGGCTGGCACCCAGTGTGGGGGGGATAGGGACAGGGGGGATGAGTGGGATGGAGGGGTGTTGAGGATGGGGTCACAACACAGAGGGTTAAGGGGACACAGGGCAGAGGCAGGGGGACCTAAGAAGGGTATCTGTGGGACATTGAGGTACCAAGGCAGGAGACCCGGGGAGGCTGTGGGGGCTCCCCGTGCCCATCCCCGCATTCACTGCACACTGTGACATGGAGCCGGGTGCTGTTTTTCCGCATGGCCCCAGACTCAGAGCTCACCTCGCAGCTGTAATTCCCTGAGTGGGAGACCCCCACGGTGGGCACCAGCAGCTGCGGGTACCCCTGCAGACCCCACACCACCCGCCCATCCTGGTAAAACATGTGCAGGAGGGAGGCTCCGGTATGCAGGGGGCTGGGGGTGCTGAGGCAGCTGAGAGTCAGGAGGGACCCCTCCGTGGTCTTGGGGGAACCTTCCTGCATCGGCACAGGGAAGGGCTCAGGGCAGGAAATGTGGGCCAGTGGGGCTGGTGACCCCCAGTGCCTGGGGAAGAGCTGTGGGGCTGTTGGGGTGGCAGCTGTGGGGTGCTCACCATGCACTGTCACTGTAACCGGTGCCGAAACCTCCCATCCCAGTGCTACCCCAGAATTCACCCAGCCCTTGCAGCGGTAGCGGCCGCTGTGGTGCAGCTGCAGACGGGACAGGAACAGCTCGGTCCCATTTTGGAACTCCACCAATTCCTTCTCCTCGTGGTAGAAGAATACTGAGCTGACCGGGTTGTCCTGCCTGTACCGGCAGCACAATGTCACCGTGTCTCCCTCCAGCAGCATCCGCATCGGCACCTGCAGCACCAGCTGGTCTGGGAGGCAGAGGGGTGCCGTCTCATCACAGAGCTCTGGAGGTTCCCGATGTCACTGGAACCCCTCTATTGGTCACACCTAGGGCACAAGAGGTCCCAACACGGGGGTCCCCCCACAATGGGATGCTCTGAGATGTCCCCATATGCAACAGATAGGCTCTGGTCAGACCAAGAAGGTCACCCACAGAGCAGAGCCCATGCAGAGCACCAGGGGTCCTCACAGGTGCCAGGTCGGGAACACCCAAACTCCCCTCACCATCTAAGACTTCCACATGGCGGCTGTGCCCACTGCCAGGTCTGTCACACGTGTAGTTGCCACTCTCGGTGACAGTGACATGAATGAGTCCCTGATGTCCCCAGTGCTGCCCATCCTTGTACCAGGTGGTGGCACCAGCAGTCCCCAAGCCCTGGCAGGTCAGTGTCACCTGGTCCCACAGCACTGCCGGCCTCCAGGGGGGCTCTACAAGAAGCTGGGTGGTCTGGGCACCTGTGGGTGACAGGGGACACCAGCCTGCCAGGGCCACCAAGGGGCTGGGGACAGTGGGGTGGGGACATGTCATCCTGTGAGGACTCACCAGCGAGGCCAAGGGTCTGGGCTGGAAGGGAAAAAGGACAGGGCTGGGTGGATGTGGCCCTGCAGGGACAGCACCATAAGGGGGCATGTGGTGTGGGGGCTGTCCCCAAATTGTCCCAATGGGAACAGTGGTAGAGCATGGAGGTCTTGAGGACAGGGATACCTTGGTCACCCTTGGCTGAGGCAGGACATGGGGACACTGTGGACACACCATGTTCGCACAGGTCACCTCCACCAGCCCTACAGCACCTGTCTGCACAGCCACATCCCCATGGCCCTATGCCCATGATCCCACTCTGGTGGCACCTGTCCCCATGGCCCATCCTCATGGCATGTGGCCCTTGTCCCTGTCCCTGCATCCGTATTCTCCTGTCCCTCTCCCCACAGCTGCCCTAGCTCCAAGGTTCCTTCTGCCACATCCCTGTCCCAACATCACTATCCCTCTGTTCCTCTGCCCACAGCCACCCCACAACTCTGGTCACCCTGGGGTCTTTGCCCTGCTGGCCTTAGGGATATCAGGGGACCCCGCAGCCCCCCTGTGCCCCCTCCCCACCAGTCTCCGCCTCACCAGGGCCCATCCCTGGGCTGTCAGGCCCATGCCCGGGGCACTCACCCCACAGGAGCAGTGCCACCTTCCTGGCCATCCCGGTGTCCCCAGCCATGTGGACTGGCTGTCACTGGCTGCTGTGGCCACCGCTCCCCTGGCTGGCGGCTCTTCGGATGAAGGGGAAGGAAGCGAGGTCACATCTCGTCCTCACGTGTAGGTGGCCCTTGGTGGGGGCAGGGTGGGGACAGGATGGGGGCAGGGTGGGGACCTTGTGGGACATGGGGGTGATGGTGGGACATGGTGTGGACAAATGTTGCCAGAATTTGGAGACTGAGGCAGTGTAGGGAGCAAAGGATGGGTGTCCAGGGGAATGGAATGCCCAGGGATGGGATCCCAGGGGAATGGGGGTCCCAAGGTTTGGATGGACTCTGACTTGGGGGTGAGTGTACCAGAACTACGTGGCCTCCAGGTATCTATGACCATGGAATGGGGGTAAAAGGGATCGGGGTGCCAAGGGAAAGGGGGGCCCTGTGAGAATGGGGGTACTGGGAGAATCAATGTCCCCAAGGGAAGGGGGGATCACAGGGGCTGGAATTGCCAGGATGGGGGTCCTTGTGAATGGAGATCCTGCGGAATTGCAGTCCTGGGATTAGGGCCGCAGGGAAGGGGGGACAAAAGAATGGGGATGCCATGCTTGAGGTCACAGGGGAATGGGGGTGCCAGGGATGGGCAATGGCTGAGTGGGCACAGGGTCACAGCTCCTTCATGGGATTTGGGGTGATCCAGGGCCCAGCACACACCCCCTGGGGTGCTCATTTCCTGGGCAGGCATCACCTGGGGGTCCTAGGTAAATCTGCCCTTGACTTTTTCCTCTCTTTCTCTTTCTTCCTTATTTTCCTCACTTTTGTGCCATGTCCCTTTACCACCAGTTCCCAGCTCAGCAAACCTG